AGAAGTTGAAACCGTAGATTTGACACCACAAACAAAAAGTTCAGAACCATTGTCAAACCTGTCAAAGAACTTACAGATGAAGAGAAAAATTCAATAATAGAAAGTGCCAGGTCTGGAAATACAAACCCTAACTATAAAGTCACTTTTCATAAAAATGGAACGGCTAGTATCTCAAAAAAGAAACAGACTCTCACAAATAAATATTGAAGTCTGAAGGAGCTTTCGAGACAACAGATGGAAAAGTTTACTTCACTGACCAACAGTTCATTATAGAACATCTCATTGACTTAGAGTCGAAATATTCTAAACTTTACAACAAACACAAAAAGTTGAAAGGAAAACAAAAACAAATGGCATATGATATTTATGAAGATGTTGACGACACAACTATTCCAGCAAGTGAGGTAAAGTCAGCAGAACCGAAAAGTGACGAAAAACCAATAGAAGAAGAAAAACCAAAAACTGAAGATAAACCAAAACCAAAGTTTAGCTTCCAAACTAAACCAAGTCAACCTTCATTAGCTGGTATGGGTTGGCGTCAAAGACTTATGGCAGCAGGCGGTTATGTTAAGTAAAGAAAAAAACATTTTTTTATTTTATTTGAAATGTACGCTGAGTTTGTTGGAGAAGACCGTTGGGAAACTTGTTTGTTAGATGAGAAATATGAAATGGCATACCATTTAAAACAAAATATTTTTTTTAAAAAATGTTTTTTTATTTTATTTGAAATGTACGCTGAGTTTGTTGGAGAAGACCGTTGGGAAACTTGTTTGTTAGATGAGAAATATGAAATTCACTGTTGTGAGTCATTTGAAGTCAGAAACAAAAAGACAAAAAGAGTTTTAAGCGAATGGGAGCGAAATGACGGATATGCTCTTATGAAGATGGGTGGAAAACACTATTTTAAACATGTTGTCATTGCAACTCATTTTATACCGAACCCTAACAATTTACCTTTTGTAGACCATATAAACCGTATAAGAAACGACAATAGACTTGAAAACTTACGTTGGGTCACTCGTTCTGAAAACAATAAGAACAAAGGCAAAATTGGAGATATTGTATTCGAATTTGTCGACGAACTAGAAGATGAAACAATTGAAATTACAGACTATGGTAAGCATACGTTTGAGTTTACTACTATAGCGAAGAACAAGACTCTTTCTACTTTTATACCGGCGTAAACTATAGGAAATTACAAGTATATTTTACTAAGGCAGGCTATGCTTATGTAAACGCTAGAGATACAGATGGAAAAAACGTTAAAATACTTCTTAACAAATTCAAGAAGCTATATGGCATACCATTTTAAAACGTTTTTAAAACGTTTTTAAAACAGTATATTTTTACATATATTAAATGCTTCAGGTTGAAAAACAAAGAACAAAAGTAGCAGATACAAAACCGTTAGACTATATCTTCACAAATGCCGGTAGAAATATTTCAGATGAAGAAATTTCATCCCGTATATACAGGTTTGACTATCCAATTGACAAAAATTGCACCGTTGGCAAATGTCAACATCCGAGTCAACATTCCGACTGAGAAAGGTTCTTCACATGACGACTATGTTGTTGACAAAGACTTGCCATGGTTGAAGATTGTAATTGTCCACAACCACTTCATGTTGAACGAAAGTCTTACAAACCCATTGTTCGGAAAAGGTAAGTGCAACATTGTCAGAGCTGTTAACATTCTTTTCGAGAAAGGTTTGTTGGAACCAATTCCAGATGACAAGCTGACAGAAACTTTTGTACCAAAAGACGAAACAAACTTTTCATTGTTGGTAAGACCAAAAGTTGTTCCAGACAAAGTTCTAGCACAAAAGAAGTACACAGTTCCAAAAGGAGTTGGATTGTTCGGATACCAACCTGAACCAGAAGAACTTCCAATGAGGTTGCAAGAACTTCAAGATGCTATAAACAAACTTCCATTGAGACATCCAATTGACGTCAAATTGTATTGGAGAGCATCAGAGTTAGGTCAGAAGGTTTTATATGAAACAGGTTGCTTTGACGATGTTTATGAGATAACAGGAGAAGTTTCTCAGAAGATAAGAGACTCACTTGAATTTCCACAAACTGGACCGATTGGATGCGACAAGTTCGACTCAAACGAAAAGATATACTATGTCGACCTTAACGCTGCGTACATGAGGTTTGTCCAATATATTCCGACTGGAATTCCAAACGAAGATGGTGAGTTCCCGGGAAGGAACTATACAGTTGGAAAAGTCATACAACAACTATATGATATTAGGAAAGCTTCAAACCCCAAACTTGCAATGACACTCAAATTGCTTATGAATTCGACATGGGATATTCCATTAAGAAACCTCAAAAGATGAAGAGTAAACATTATGAGAAGGTCGACAACTTTGTTGAAAGGTTTTCTCCTTTTGTTTTGAAGTACGAATTCACCGAAGGTCAAAGTGGCTTAGTAACCACATTAAAACCTATTGTCGAACATTGGTGTTACCCTCAGTTCGCAAAGGCAGTCCTTGACAACTACAACAAATTCTTCTCCGAAGTCAAATCCAAAATTGTGGTTTACTATGAGAACATTGACGCGCTCATGACGAACGAAGAAGGATACAACAAACTCATTGAAATGGGAATGGTCGGTGAAAAGATGGGCTGTTTTAAGCTAGATAAGGTATTTTCCGAAGTTCATGTAATATCGAAAAGGAAATACTGGGGTATACTTGAAGACGGCACAGAAATAAAACATTGCATGAAATAAAAACATTGCATGAAGTAAAAACGTTTTTAAAACAGTATATTTTTACATATATTAAATGCTTCAGGTTGAAAAACAAAGAACAAAAGTAGCAGATACAAAACCGTTAGACTATATCTTCACAAATGCCGGTAGGACTATTTCAGATGAAGAAATTTCATCCCGTTCATACAGGTTTGACTATCCAATTCGTTGGCTTCAAAGTCCTTCAGATGCAAAGGCAATAGGATTTAGAAGAGTTTTGTTTTCAAATAGAACTAACGCGTTTATGTTCGCAGTATATTTTCATGGTCAGTATAAAGGTTCTGATGGTCTAATAGAAAAATTTGATGAAATGAAAATCTTTACAATTCGTTCAGACGAAAGTCTTGAGAAAACTCTAAATGACTTCCAAACTCAAATAAACAAATACTACTGGGAATTTCAAGAAAAATACGACTCTTTACTAAATGGAACATACTATCTGAAACTAGAATATGACAAGATGAACTCCACCGTTTCATTTCAAAAGATTGAAATTAACCCTCCAAGAGATACAGAGTTTTTATATTGGGAGTAGACAAACGTTCTTGGGCACAATTTCTTCGGTTACTAAACCAGAACGAACCATTACCACCAGATGGTCCATTTAAATTTATACTTCCACCAGCAGATTTGACAGTTTATAGAAACGTGTTTGACCTCAAAATGTCATGTGTCATGCAAGTTTCAGTTCAAGCAACAACAGTTTCTATGTATCGGTAAGGACTTTATGACTTTGCTTCTAAATTCTACGAACCACCTAGTAACAGTTTCTCTGACTTTCAAGTTTGGTTCACAACAAATGGTGTGCAACATATTATTCCATTGTACTATGACTTTTATCTCGAATTGTCTTTCATATACAACTACGGAAAAGTGCTGAAAAAGTATTGAAAAATATATTTTAGGTGAAGTGGTGAGATCTCACCTCTTTTCTCACCTCTTTTTTCACCCGTTGAATTTTCATGAATTTCCTTAAGATAGAAAATATATTTTAGGTGAAGTGGTTTTTTAGGTGTCACCAGGTCACCAGGTCACCAGGTCACCAGGTCATTTTAACTTCTCTGAAAAAGTGTGACAACACGACATTTTGACAACAACACAGGAAATAAACTTCTTCTTCGTATATGTTTTGTTGAGACTTCATCGTCGTATTCTTTCACCCGTTGAATTTTGTATAAAAAAGCAACCGCCGGAATTCCGGCGGTTGGTATATTCTTCACAAAATGCTTGTTTTGAGGTCGAGCCACAAACGGATGTCCGACGGTTAAGCCACCCAAAAATATTTTTTATTTTTATTGTACGTACTGAAATGACATCGAAGCAAAACGTTCACGAACAAATCTAATGGCGAAACATTCACAAAAGGCACTTACAACGGTATTGAAGTCTTACGTAGAGACAAGGATGGTTATATAAATGTAACAATATGTGTCAGCAGTTTAGGAAAGACTTTAGAAAGTTGTTGGAAATAAGTCCTGGGAAGAGTATTATACGGCATTTTGTGAAGAATATACCAACCGCCGGAATTCCGACGGTCTTTTTATACAAGGTTCATGCAGGAATTCCTGATGAAATCAAACAGGTTAGAGGAACGTATGTAGACCAAGACTTGTAAACTATATAGCAATGTGGGCTTCTCCCAAAATATTGCATAGCAGTTGGAAAAATTCTGGACTCCATAGACAAGAAAGTTCATGAGAAATTAGATGAAGAAGAACTTGAAGATACAGTAGAGAATGCAAAACCTTTGTTCGAACAAGAAGTTAGAAAATGGCTTAAACAAATAGAACATGAACGTGAGATATGTTTGTTATAGAGATTCTCCATACGAACTAGACCAATGGAACAAGAAGATTTAAAGAGAGAATTTAGAGAATATGAACTCGCTAAGATAGCATTTGAAGCTGCAGAAAAGAATTAAAAGTTTGGGGTCGTTTTGTACAAAAATATTGTGAGTAAATGAACCATTTTTTTCAAAAAATATATTTAGTGAAGAGGTGAGATCTCACCCGTTTTTTTCACCTGTTTTTTCACCCTCATTTCTACCATCGTAGAAAACACACAAAACTCTTGAATTTGTTGCTGAACTCGGCAAAAATATATTTTAGGTGAAGAGGTGAGATCTCACCTTTTTTTTCACCTCTTTTCTCACCCGTTGAATTTTCATGAATTTTCCCGAAATAAAAAATAAAGTTAGTTTTTAAAAAAAAATATTTTTTTATTTTTATTGTAAGAACATGTTAGCAACAACTTCACCAAACTCGTTAGTCATGAACCCAACTTCAATGTTAGTAGAAATGAAAAACTTCATTCCTTCTTCATATACTTTCGAAACAACAATCCAGAAGATAAAGCAAGAACTTCTCCAAGGAGATTTAGATTGCACTGCAAAAGATGAAACAAATGAAGAATATCTTTATGAAATGCAGGATATTATTGACCATCTACCTAAACTTCCTGAAATCCAACAACAAAAGCTCACTATTCCAGAATTCGATGAAATAGAAGTCAAAGCAACTGACTCAGTTGAAATTAAGAAGTTCATACGTAAGGTAAACTATGAGTTTCTTGGATTTCATTGCAACCACAAAGTCATGGACAAAGACTGCGACATGTTATATAAGAACATCTCTGACATATATAAATCTGGGGAGTTTAAGACCTACGACAACTTTGTTTCGTTAGTTGCTGAATGTGTATGGCAGATAAGAGATGAAGATAGAAGAGGTAAGGTATGGAACCAACAGATAAAACCCGCAACTTTTGAGTTAAAGAAAACCATTGACGCCTTAGTTGTTTTAGCAGGTAAGGTTTCAGAATATAACGCAAAAATGAACCCACAATGTTCAAAATGTAAAGCAGCAATGAGGAAATATAACTACTCCGTCAAAGAGATAGAACGTATGCGAAACGACTATGCTGACTTAAAGAAAGAAGCAGAGAAACCAGCAGAAGATAAAATGGACATGTTAGCATTTCTGAACAAAAACTATCCAACTGCTGACGATTTCCTTCTTTCAGATGTCAAGAAGAAATATAAAGAAACCTTCGGCATTGTTAAAACATTCGATGTACTGACAGAGGAAATCGAAGCCACAAAACTGTTTAGGATTTCAAATATACATCGTACAATTCATGTAAGACGCTTGTGAAAAAGAGGTGAAAAAAGAGGTGAGAAAACAGGTGAGATCTCACCTCTTCACCTAAAATATATTTTTATTGAATTCTGAGTAAAATGACATATGGAACACATACTTTTTCAGTAAGGACATATGGGGTGAAAAAAGAGGTGAGAAAACAGGTGAGATCTCACCTCTTCACCTAAAATATATTTTTGTCTGATTTACGCTCATTACGATGAAATACAACAACAAAACATTGACGAAGAAGTCTTGACAAAACATTTACGATGAAATCTATTTCCTGTGTTGTTGTCAAAATGTCATGTTGTCACCATTTTCAAAAAGATGTTAGTTGACCTGGTGACCTGGTGACCTGGTGACCTGGTTCCACCTAAAATATATTTTTGCTGAAAAAAATGACCAAATTTCATGATATAACTGTATTTTTTTTACGAAGAGAACTTTAACACTTCGTCAAAAAAATGACGTTTACCATGTAAAACGCTTATGAAAATCGTGAAATTTTTACGAAGAGAACTTTAACACTTCGTCAAAAAAATGACGTTTACCATGTAAAACGCTTATGAAAATCGTGAAATTTTTACGAAGAGAACTTTAACACTTCGTCAAAAAAATGACGTTTACCATGTAAAACGCTTATGAAAATCGTGAAATTTTTACGAAGAGAACTTTAACACTTCGTCAAAAAAATGACGTTTACCATGTAAAACGCTTATGAAAATCGTGAAATTTTTACGAAGAGAACTTTAACACTTCGTCAAAAAAATGACGTTTACCATGTAAAACGCTTATGAAAATCGTGAAATTTTTACGAAGAGAACTTTAACACTTCGTCAAAAAAATGACGTTTACCATGTAAAACGCTTATGAAAATCGTGAAATTTTTACGAAGAGAACTTTAACACTTCGTAAAAAAATGACGTTTACCATGTAAAACGCTTATGAAAATCGTGAAATTTCTCTAGGCCGACTTTTATCGGCCTTGCATAAAACTCATGAAAATCGTCAAAAAAATCCCTGAAATCATATCTTTTATACAAGATAGAAAAAATAAAATTAACGCTAGTTTTTTTAAAATATTTTTTTTTATTTTGTATGTAAGAACAGGAAATGACAAACACTGAGTTTGAAACAGTTAAAAAGATAGACAATGAGACCAAAGTGGTTAGAATTGGTGATTTAAACGTAAGATACTCAAAGAAATACAACAAATATTCTTTGTCAGACATTTTAACACTATCTGAAAAGAAAACATCCCACGACTGGGTTAGAAATGCTTCTACTCAGAAAATTTTGACAAAAAATCCTGAGCTTATGATATCGGTAAGATTCTATGGAACAAGAACATATCTTATAGACAAAAGTCTTATACCACTAGTTTTGTTCTGGATTGACCCAGTTGTTGGATATAATTTCATAACATATGGTTCATTCGATACGGAACGTTGCAGTGAAGGCTTACTTTACATCGTTCAGAAACCGAAGGACTTCAATACAAAGAGATATAAGATAGGAAGAACATATAATATAACTCAAAGATATGACAGTACAGTCAATAGAGTTAAGGTTGTGTTTGTTAACGATATGAGAGCTGCTGAAACAGAACTACTTGAAAAGTTTGAGAAAATGTATGGTGCTCCCACGAAAGGTAAAGAAACGTTTGAAGTAGATGAGATAGATAGTGCTATAAAATTATTTGACGAAGTTGCTGAAAAATACATGTAAAGCGTTTATTTTTGGTCTTTTATACAAGATAGAAAATAACGCTAGTTTTTTATAAAATATTTTTTTTATTTTGTATGTAAAGACAGTAATGTCAACAACAGAGAACACAACAACTGCTATCGTTCATGAAGCCATAAGTGAAGAATACGAGTACATACAGTTTAACAAACAACTCCGTCTCATTCGTTCGGTCAAAGATGACATGTACCAAATGCAAAGTATTTTGACAGCATGTTTTGCACCAGACACTAAACACGCAGACGATTGGTTCAAAAACCAAAGCACACAAGAACTTTTGAGTGAAATTTCTCTAGACCGACTTTTTTCGGCCTTGCATAAAACACATGAAAATCGCAAGAATTTGGCTCCTGGTTTGAGAGGTTGGTATGTACATAGACTTTTAGTAAATGCTGTTGCAATGTGGGCTTCACCTCGCTATGCATGGCATGTTTACAAACTTCTTGACGAAATTCATAGACAAGAACGTGAAGAGCTAGAGAACAAGCTTGAAGCAAAAGATGAAGTCATTGAAGCAAAAGACAAAAACATACAGAAAAGAATACCACGTTCGGTACCAAAAGGAAAGGAAAAGAACTATAAGTATATGATTTACACTGAAGAGATGGAAAATGAAGAAGACAGAGATATGGTTATGTTGCATTTAGTCAGAAGAAACAACAAAAGCTTTTACGACCTTGCTAAGATTTACAAATCTGACAGAAATTGGTTCTATCGCGAAAACTTACCGATTTCAATGACACCGAATGAAGATGTTAAACAGATAGTTCAAGATACTTTACCTCAAACACACTATGATATGAAAGGTTGTACAATACTTACCTTCAAAGAAGATTTACCGCTACTGAAAGAAAAAATAACAGAGTATTTTGACAACTTCAAACAAGCAGAGTAGATGAACCATTTATTTTTCAAGCTTGACACCAAAGATGGCTCAGGTAGCTCTATAAGGTAAATTGTCTTGTCCGAGTCCTTCTGGCATTCCGAGTCCTTCTGGCATTCCGAGTCCTTCCTTCCGACAGGAAAAGTTTTTCTTTCCAACAGGAAAAGTCCTTCCTTCCAACAGGAAAAGTTTTTCTTTCCAACAGGAAAAGTCCTTCCTTCCAACAGGAAAAATTTTTCTTTCCAACAGGAAAAGTCCTTCCTTCCAACAGGAAAAGTCCTTCCTTCCAACAGGAAAAATTTTTCTTTCCGACAGGAAAAATTTTTCTTTCCAACAGGAAAAAATTTTCCTGTTGTCCGTCCGTAAACCATTCAAATTTTCGAAAATTGAGAACTTTTTGGCCGACCTTCAGGAAAAATTTTTCTTTCCGACAGGAAAAGTTTTTCTTTCCGACAGGAAAAGTTTTTCTTTCCGACAGGAAAAGTTTTTCTTTCCAACAGGAAAAGTTCTTCCTTCTGGCATTCCGAGTTCTTCCTTCCGACAGGACACAAACGAATGTCCGACGTACCACCAACCGAGTCCATTCCAAAGCCAGAAGAACCGAAAGCTGCAGCACCACAACAGACTAAGACCAAACACTTACATTTTTCAAGCTTGACTTTTTACAATTTGAACTTTGTTCGCGTAGATATGAATTCTGAAAGAAGTATGAGGGTCTTGTATGACTTTGTACTTCTCCCATAGTTCATGTCTGTCAAACTTACCTGCCATGGACTCTTTCATAAGTTCCATGAAATCGTCTTCGGACAATCCGGGGAAAAGTACAATGTCAGTAAGTATTCTCTTTACATCCTTACTTAAACTCTTGGCTGTCTGTACACAAATGACAACTGAGATGTTAAAGTGTCTGAGCTTCTTAAGAATTCGACACATGTCTTGTTCTCTATTCTTTAACAAAGGATGAGAAGCAAAGTCATCTAAGATAAGAAGACATCTATGAGGGTACGTTTTCCAATCGTAAGATTGCAATTTCTTCGAAATGTATTCTATCTCTTTCTGTTTGTTTCTGAAGTGTTTCTTCTCTAATATTCTCTGCATTTCCTCATTTGGTCTTTAAACTTCGAATTTATATACTCATTTATAGCATTGTACTTCAAAACCCTTCTTTGGTACTTCTTTATCCAATCTAACAACTCAGAGTCTTTTATACATACTAACTTAGACTTCTTTATAATATCTTTGAACGAATTGACGGTTTGGTCAAATTGACCAGAAGTACTACAAATGACAACTAACTCATAGAATGGGTTCTTCTCATCTAGTTCTTGTTGTTGTGCAGCCATTTTAAGATAAGTGAAAGTCTTACCCGACCCAGGTGGTGCAATTAGACCTGTTATACCATTCTGAGCAAATAAGAACTTGTCATGTATGGGTTTTATCTGAGCATTTTCCAACTTCCTCTTGTTCTTATTTAAAACATTCTCAAATTTTTTGTCAATGTCAGCAAACTTTTTTTCTAACATATTTTTAGAAAAATTAAAATTTTTATCTTTTAGAAAATGTCTAGCGATTTCGCTATCTATATTCGAGACAAGCTTTTCGACAGCAAAACATCTGTCGACCATAAAATCTTACATAGTGTAAACAAGAAAGGTGAATTTGTTCTAAAGTTCTGTTTCTGGGAATATGACAAGAACCATAAAACATTAAGCAGAGCAGTCTTAAAATTTGTCAATGACAGACTTGTTGACAGAGATGACGCCTCTTGGAGAGATGAAGTCCAACAAAACTTCTTAGAATGCAAAGAAGACACATGCACTGTTCTTGAAGATGAAATAGAAAACAGAATAGAGAGCTATTAAAGGACAAAGAACTTTTACAAAAATATGGTTCTGAGAAGTTTGACATAACTCCACCAGAAAAGAAGAAGAGAGAAAAGAAAGAAAAGAAAGTAGAAGAAGAGAAGAAAGAACCTGAACCAGAGAAGAAGAAATTTGACATGTAAAAATAAAATTTTATTTTTAGAACATTTCTGGGTCAATGTCAATGTTCTCTTCCTCTTTAGGAGCAAACACTGGCTTAGACTCTAAAATCTTTTTACCCAATTTACCTTGAACTTCAACTATCTTAGACTCATAATATTCATAGTCGTCTGCTTTCTTTGGTTCATAAGGTATAACAAGTTTGTATGCTTTGCCTTCTTTAAGGTTTGAGAACCTTCTGTCAAAACTTTCTTTGACTGCTAACAAACCTTCTATGTCTAAGTCTTCAAATTTCGCACCATTTTTAGTCACAATAGCAAACTTAACTGGTTCGATGTTCCAAACTTTGCTGAATGAAGACTTTTCAAAATGGTAGAAGTAAACATTCAAATATGTGAATGGGTCTAGTTCTTCTTTAAGTCCTGACATGTACTTGTTTACTGAGATGAATTTCGTCATCTTTTCTATCGGATAAAAAAAATATTTTTTTTTAAAATTTACTCAGAAAAATTTTTCTTTGTATATACACCATTCTGAACTTCGAAAAGATGTTTTATACCAGCATAGAATTTTTCTCTAGAGCTTGGTCTTATATCGTTTTCATGACAATATTTTCTATATTCTTCATATAAAGCCTTTGATTCATACATTTCATAAGGACAATCTAACCAGAATAGCGCATATCCATTTTCGTTATCTAGGTCTCTATATGTTTCTTCTGTTTGTGGAATTTCGCTTTCTTCTGTTTGTGGAATTTCGCTTTCTCTATTTAGTTCTATGTCTATATATTGTGGCTTAAAAAGATGTGGGCAAGAAGGGTCTGGCGCTATGTAAAAAGTTAATTTTTCTGTCATCTTTTCTATCGGATAAAAAAATATTTTTTTTTTAATTTACTCATAAAAATTTTTCTTTGTATATACACCATTCTGAACATCTAAAAGACTTTTGACATTTGCCAAGAATGTTCGTTTAGACGCTGTCATATAACCATACTCTTGACAATATTGTTTATACGAATCGTACAATGACCTTTCATCTAATGACACAAAGTCAGTTTCATCTATGAACAGTTCATATACACTCTTGTTTGCTTCTAACAATGTTTGTCTCTCTTCGGTATGTGGAATTTGTCTTGGATTGAACTTAGAAATATCTAATGTCATGAAATATGAGAACAAGTGGTTGTAAAAGTCAGATGTCAAAGTTTCTGCTAAGTCGTCAAAATATTCTGTATCTTGCATATGAGAATCTGACGTTCTGACAACTACATATCTTCTGTCAGAACTTTCTAACTTCATCGGAACAGCATTGTTTGAAACCATGACGAAGTTTGCAACATTTTCACAAACTCTTTGGTCTTTATATTTTCTTTCAACAACTCCAACTTTGTCTGTTATAAGACTCTTCAAAGCATCTGAGTTCAAAACTTTTGTTGTATCTATACTTTGAAGTTCGTTACATACTATAAGTTTCATATTCTCTATTGAAGAGTTAAATTTACCGCAGATGTTTTCTAAGTTTGTCATATTCGGATTCGAATAGCCCTCTAACAGTTTGCATAAGATATCTGTAAAGAAAGTGTTCTTACCTGTTCCTTGTTTTCCAATTATAATGAGAGGCAGTTTCATTTTTAGCACTTGGATGTTGTAAGATGTTTGCAAACCAACATAAGATATATACTCATAGACTCTTTCGTTTCCATTGCATATAATTTCTTTGACATGGTCTAACCAAGCTTCTATAACATTTTCTTTCCATTCTACTTGTTCGTATTTATATCCAGTGAAGATAGAATAGAAGTTTGGAGATGGTGTATAAAACTTTATACCACGAACTGAAAAATCTTCAAGTTTTGACAATAAGATATCCCAAGCATCTAACATCTTCATACCAACTTGTACGACTTTTATTTTCTTAAGTTTCTGTCTACATTCTTGTTCTGAAACTATTGTCGCTCTTGGTTTGTTAAAGACAACATCCCATTCTTTCATGACATAACATTCTGGGGCAGAGTCGACATAAATGACTAAACGTTTCAAATTCTCGACTGCTTTGTTATAGTCTCGAAATGGACACATATTTCTGAATGTTTGGAAGTCATAAAAAATCTGAAACATCTATTCTGTACATTTTTATAAAAATAAAAAAAATATTTTTTTTATTCTTGAGCTATTTGTGCATTTGTTGTTCTTGAGCTATTTGTGTTGAAGTTTTCTTGTAGTACAATACTTTCACCAGTTGCATCTTCCAATTCGAAACTTTCTGCCGTCATTGACAAATACATAGGACATAAAAGTTTTACAGGAACAAAGTTTGCGTCAACTAAGGTTAAGTTTATGTTTGCTAAAGTGTTTGAGTTTACTAAAGCTGAAAACTCTGCATTCGAATGAACAATAGGCAAACCAGCAGAGAATGTGTTATTTATACGCATAAGTATTTTTTGGTCATAGTAGTTTCTGTCGACATTCGAATAACACTTTGAACCTAAGTTTGAAACAATATATAAAATAGGTGTACTTAAAGTCAATGGAACGGATAGACCTTGTATGACACCTTTTCCTGTTATAGGAAACTGTTGGTAGTAAAAACCAGATATAAGTTTTGTATTATAGCTCATATCGTTTATACTAAACTCAGTCGGATATCCAAACATAATGAAACCTGCTCTAGTTGCAGCACATGTTACATCCGTCCTTAAAGTATTAAATAAGTCAACAAAACCTGTTGGTGGTATATCTGAGTAAGTATCTTCAAAGAAGTATTTTTTACCATTCACAACAACAAAGTCTTCTGGTGTCAAAAGAGCAAAACAGGCTTTAGTCGTCACTGTGTTTAAGGTTAGTTTACAATATCGTCCTTGAGGACTTTGTAAGTTTGTTGTTATAGAATTATATGACTCAGGGTTTTTAGTCGTAATAGTATAAACCACTATGTCTTCTGCCATTTACATATATTTAAAAGTTTTTCTGAAAGTGGAGAAGAACTTCATCTAAACTTTCACATGGCGTTTCTTGAAGTTCTCTGTCTAAGAAGTTCAAATATTTTGTAAAGACATAGAACTTTCCTTTGTCTACACGAACAAACAAAACAGGGTCTTTCATATCGTTCAAAAGTGTGTAAAGTCCTTTACATGAAATAAAGTCTATATTGTTTTTCTTCAAACATCTTTCAAGAAGTTTTGACATTTTTACTTAGCAACTAAATTTTAATGAAATGTTGTGGTCGTCAAATATTTTTATAACGTCTGGGAAACTATATTTTAAGTTCAAGGTTTCACCTCCTTTCATAACGTATATCTTGTCAATGATATTATATGAAACACCACAGCAAGCAATGTCGGGTTCTATTTCTTTGATGTTTATATCGTCTGCCTCTGTCAAAAGTTTCAATAGTTCTTTCAAAACTTCATGAGGTGCAATGACATATGAGTTCACTTTTACAGGGTTGTGTTCGACCAAGTTTAACATTATACCTAAAGCTTGACAAATCTTCTCCTGAGTTTTAAGTTTGTCTTTAAGTTGTTGGTAGTCATTTCGAATATCTGCAACAGAACTTAAGTCTCTGCTAACTTCAGGATATGTTGGTTGTTCTTTTACAGGAACTATTGTTATACCATTTTCGTCTTCGTATGGTTTCCCCACTTCAACATCTCTGTCTTTGACATTGACAACAACACTTTGACTGTTTGTTTGAGTTGGTGAATTTAACTTCACATCTGCCACCGCCATTAAACCTTTTGAAACACTTACGCTTCTATTTTTCGGAAATGACATTTTACTTAGAATAAAAAGATGGACGTATTTGAGTATCTCTTCGATTGAAGCAGAACAAAGTTTACACACCACAAACAATACAAGTTCATTGACAGAGTAGTTCTTTACACAAACAATGGAAAATGTTATAGAATAGCAGTTTGCTGAACCAAAAATATTTCTAAAGCAAAGAAAGTTGGTATAACTGAAAATGGTGAAAGTTCTTGAAGCAGACAAAAATATAACAACAAAACTTACAGATATTTCTAAAGGTAAGTTTATCTTACAATTTTATGTCAAAACTGGCGTACTGTCAATATTTGACGGAGAGAAGTCAGTTCAAGAACAACTTACTGACCTGCTGCCAAAATCTGCTCGATGGAAGCTGTCGTTATGCCAATCTGAGGAGCCCCAGCAGGTTTCATCGAACGAATCTTCAAAAGAGCATCTTCCGTGAAAAGTGCTATTGGTTTTGTAAACTTCTTTGCTTTCAATTCATCTGGACCGTCTCTGTCACCAGTATATTGTATTTGAACTGTACCAACAGTTGAAATACCACCCATAAAGTCTTCTGAGTCAGCAAATGGAATGCCAAGCCAAAAGTTTGAACGGTCTCTATTTGTATATTGAGTTTTTTGACCTCCTGTATGAGTCCATACTTTCACATATGGCATAATAGAACTTTGCATTTCAGGGTTAATGGTTGTTGTGAAGTTGTTGTTAAAGTTCATAGCATCTAATGTCAAGTTGTATGACCTCATATCCTCAACTGTAGAATATTCTTCTCTTGGATAATATTTGCCATCTATGTTTATATGATATTTAATACCGGGGTTGTAGAAACAAGAATAGTCATTTATAGTTCGTCTGAACAGTACAAACATAGTATCTGCATGTTTCATTGCAGTTGTTAAAGCAATATCTGTTCTTGCACCTGGGTCAGCACTTTGGTTTCCAACTTCACCTGCAAAGTCTTTGACGGATATTTGGTGTATAGGGAACATAAGTGGAACTGCAATATATTTGGCAGCTAAAGCATTTGAAATATCTGGGTCCAACATATAGACTGCAAGTCTGCTTTCTATTCTCTTGCATTCAAACTTTTCGCATGTAAACTTAACTGGGTCCCAAGCAGTTCCAGCAGCATTGAAATAATAGTTTACTTCAGTGTTGAAGTTTGAGAAACCAAAGTCTAAGTCAACTTTGTCTTTGCAAAATTCGGCGAATGACGTTTGATTTGTTCCCTTTACGTCTGTAAGAGTGAATGGGTCTTGTGTTGGTGCAATGACTAAGTTATTTTTGCTTGGAGTAAGTTCGATAGAAATTTTTCCTGCCCAGTTTGGCAAGTATCTTAAAAACCTGAAGATGAGGAAAGATGACAAAGGAACTCTAAGTTTCAGTTTTACTTTGGTTACTGCTGCTGCAGTTTGTCCAGAAAGGTCAACATAAACTCCTGGAACGTTAGGGTCAAGTCTTCTTATTTTCTCAATAGTTGCATACTGGTCTGTTTGTTCTCTAGCTTGTGGTTGTACTGAGTTTCTCAAAGCGAACCATTCATAGTTTGCCCATGTTACTGTTTGAACTAAGTCAGAGTTAGAATATATCTTATATCCCATGAAAACTTCTGGAGCATATTGGTATCCGACATAGAAAATTCCATTGCAACCTTTCTTGTCAGACAACTTGGCAGAAGGTTTTATTTCAATGTCTTGTTCCACGTATAAGAATGAGTTGTCAATAGAAATTATATGAAACCTGTCGCAAGCAATATCTACTGTTGTTGAAGAACCTTCACCAAACTCACCTACATTTCCATAAGAAACAGCAGTTGTATATTCGTAAGTTCCAGGAACTATTTCTGACCTTCTAATGGCATTGTCGCATTCGTTATACCATTCGGAAACATTTCCATTCATGGCATCCAAAACTGTTGGCGTTATATTCTGAGCGGCGTACATTTCATATGGGTAAAAATATAGAATAGTTGGATTTATATGTCATAATAGAACCCACTCGGACCAAGCTTTACTTTCTTCCTGACTGAGTTTTTAACTCTTCTTTTTCCTTCATTGCCACTACTTTCACTAGATGAAGTTACTTCTTCACTACTTTCACTTTGTTCTACTCTTCTCTTCTTCTTTGGTGTCGCTTTTGGTAACTTGCCCTCTGCTTCAAGTTGTTGCATCTTTGCCTCATGTTCACCTAGTATGTTGTAAATTTCCCATGTCCTTTTTGCCTTTGGGCTCTGGTCGCCCATCTCAGGTAACCTATATCCTAGAAAGATTTTGTCATAGTTTGTATTTGAGTCTTCGCGTATTGTTTGCATGACTCTTTCCTGAGTTTCCGGTTCAAGCTCTTCAAACAGTGCCTGTCCATATGGAATAAGCTCGTTTCCAAATATATGTTTTTGTAGCCATTCTGGTTTTCTTTCCATGTTACCAACAATATCTTTTGTGAATGGGAAAGCTTTTACCCAATGTTTCAGTCTTGCGTCATTTATTTCTGTAGTTGGTTTTATTTTGTCAAGGAACATGTTTTTCAATACTAACATTTCATTTGGTACTGTCCATTTGAGTTTTCTTAAATATTCATCCCTTCTCAGTTCATTGTCTGCAAAGTAAGTTTTTATGACATTTTGCAAACTTTCGTTTGCAAGGTCATGTAAAATAGGTTCTCTTCCTTCTCTCTCCCTAACTTTCTTTCTAAACTCTTCACCAAATATACCATCTTTATGGTTCTGTGTAGTTCTTTGAGATAAATGTTCTAGAACGTCAGGTGTTATATTTCCATCAGCCATGTTCATTTCATACTGGTCCAAAATATCTGCATCTTTCATATCTTTCAATGGCATTAAAGCCGCGCTGAAAATACCAGCTATATCTGGTTCACCATTGACTTCCATTGCGTCTACAACTTCTTGGAATTGTGGTTGTAAGTTTATGAACCACCTATCCGGGTTAGCTTTATGACCCCATCTCATTGTAGTTCCATAGTCTGCAGAAACAAAAGTAGGTTTGTTTCCATATTGGTTAGGTTCTGAATGAACTTTAAACAATGTTTCATTTCTATATGTTTTGTTGAAATTTAACCTTTTATTTTCACCGAGTTCAGCCAAAGATTGAACGTTATATGGTCGTAAGTAAAAAGGGTTATTGTATTTGCGTACATTTTCTTTCAGTACTTCCATTCTATGCTGAATATTTTCATCTGGTGTTGGAGTCTTTTGTATGTCGGCAAACATTTTTCGATATTCTTCTACCATGTCAGCCGAATTTTTCTTAGACTCTTGGAAAGATTCCATATTCACCTCATACTCTTGTTGAGGGTCAAGATTTTTCGGCTGTTCCAAATCTTCATCTAGTTCTGTGAAGTTAGTTTCCAAAGGAGGGACTTGTTCGTTTCCTTCAGGCTCTTCTAGCTGTTGTTGCTGAACTATTTCTTCCATGTCTGGTTGTATCTGAACTTCTTCCTGTGGAGTTTCTTGTACCTCATCTGCTGGCATTTCATATATTCCGAGACCGTTTTTAACAAGTTCCCTATCTAAGTCATCCGGACTCATAAACCTTTCTTCTTTCGTTCCGTCTCTATTTTTTACGCGTTTCATGAAGAGAGTTGAATTGTCATTTAGCTCTGACACCAAATATCTCGGAGTAAATTCAGTCATGTCATTTGGATGATATGCTATTAAATCATATCCCTTAGCGAGCTTGTATTTTCCAGGTTTGAAATTATATCCCATTTGGTGCTGAACCATAAAGCTAAATAGGTTCGGGTCAGTATTTCCTTCCTTGAACTTTCTAATAGCTTCTTTATATCTGTCACTAAAGTCAAGAGTAGCTGGGTAACCATAGTCTTCTTTAAGCATTTTTAAGAAATCTTGGTTTCCTTGTTCTCTACTTCTTTTATGTCCTTGTTCTGTTTGTGGTTGTTGTTGTGCAGGGTTTTGAACTGTTGGTTGCTGTGCTGGTTGTGGAGGTGGTTGTTGTGCTGGTTGTTGTTGTTGTGCTGGGTTTTGAACTGTTGGTTGTTGTGTTGGTTTTGGTGCATGCCTGTGTCTGTGTCCATGTGACGATGTAAATGTTTTAGGTAGTCCTGGTGCAGGTGCTTCTCTTGGAGGGTTTGGTGGTATATAGGTTCCACTAGCTAGTATATAAGTTCCACCAGCTGGTATATAAGTTCCACCAGCTGGCACATATGTTCCATCTGCAGCATAGTGTCCTACCTGACTTTTCGTTTTTAAGAAAGCATTTACTAGGTCTGTTTTGGTCTGTTGTAACTCTTTTTCTTGACTTTCCACAACAGTTGCTCTAACGGCGTCATAGGCACTTTGAACTGCCTGTCTCGTTGCTGCATCTGTTATTTTCGTCATATTTTGTGCTACTTCTCTTAACTCGTTGTCGAAACCTTCAGACTTCAGTTTCTTTCCAGATGAGAAGTCGTTCACTAGTTTCACCTTACTATGAAGAGCTTCGAAGGCGTTCTTAAAGTCAGCATTCATTAAAGCTTCATTTGAACTGTCTTCATCCGCTTGTATTTTTGTCCTTATTGACCCTATAAGCTGGGCTGCTTTAGCGTTGGCTTGGGCATCTAACCAGTCATTGTTAGCTTTTATATATTCTGCGCTTTTCATTGCCTTTTGCATAGCCGCGTCGTCATTTTTACTTTCTTGTGCTAAGTTTTCATACTGTACGGTTTGGTTTTGCAACTGTAAAAGTTTTTCTGCCTTTACATTTGCTTCAACTTCTTTTTTATACTCATCGCTATCCATATATGTCTTCAGGGCTTTTTGTTTTATCTCTTCATCTTTCAGTACTTTATATTGAGTAGTATGGTTTTTCAAATTTATAACATCTTGTTCCATTTTTGCTACTTCTGCTGCTTTTTCTGACACTTTTTTCGCATATTCCTCTGTACTTAGTTCTTTCAGTTGTTCTTCGTTCTTCTTTTTCTCTACGTTTAACTCATTGAGTTTCTTTGTGTGTCTGTCGTATTCTAGTTTCTTTTCGTTTTCACTTATTTGCTTCTGTATGTCTATGTTTGACTTTTTGACATCTGATATTTGATTTTTGAGTGAACTCAAATTCATTTGACTTTGAGGGTTATAGGCTGTTCCGTCTGCAGCTCCACCATAGCCTGCCATTTTCGCTAAAAGTGCCGCTCTTAAACCTCCACTCTGTGCACCAAAAACTCGGTTTAAGAGCATAGGGTTGCTTGACATTTGTTGCAACATGGTGGGGTCATTCAGCATTTGTTGTTGCAACTGTTGTTGTGGTGTTAGTCTTACTATTGGATGTTTCAATGCTCTCTTCCTCTTACGTATATTCTTACGTAGCTTACGTGGCATTTTAAGTGAAGTAAAAAAGAGGCTTTTGACAGATGTTTATATGACACTTTCTCCGGTTTATAGGACCTCTCTCATATTCTATCTTATCGTATCTAAACTCATAGTCATGTATGTCCTCTAACCATCTCATAACGGTTTCCAAACCACTTTTATCGGATGTAAAGTAAAAACATGGATGGTTATGTAAAACGTCTAAAGTTTCTAAAGAGTCTCTCAAAGTATACTTCCTTGAACGCCCGTAACTTTACTGTAGCGACGATAGACCCTTACTTGTCCGGACATAGTTATACTATTTTGAGTCCTCTACCGAAAAGTCAACGACAACGACTTTCAAAAATTTTTAGGGCTAGAAGGCACGAAGTGCCTGGAAAGCCCCCTTCACCCAAAAAAACCTCATTTTATACTTCATTGTATACTAAACATCCTTGGGGCTAGAGGGCACGAAGTGCCTGGAGGCCCCACTACCTTTTTTTTTTTTTTTTTTTTTTGATATCGATGCTATTTCTTTAGATATCTTAATTTTCAATATCGTAATTTGATAGAACCTTATATTATGTGGTAAACATATTTTCATATTACCAAGCACTAGTGTTTTCACCTACTTGGAAAGAAACAAATTTCATTAAATTGGAAGAATAAAAGTATTTATTTAATGGATAGAGTCTTCATCCGCATTGAACCAGAGTGCTGTTAGATAAATTACAGTATTTTATTAGGCTTGCATTCAAAATTACATCAAATTGAAGATAATGAACGTTTTGAATTTTTGGAAAATCTTGATTTTATAAATGTTTAAGCTTGATCACTTAATAAGCGCATTGAAAATTATGCCACCAGTTTCACCTCGTGGGGTACCTAAAACACCTCAACCTTTAAATATGTCCAATTCTAACGCAACGTTTTTTAAGAAATCAATTCCACAAACTCCTACAACCGAAAGAGATCCTGAATCAGATATAAAGGTTTTCTTACGTGTTCGGCCGATTCTTCCTGGAGAAACACAAGCAGATTTACAAATCAATGAAAACACAGTAATTGCAAAAGTTCAGCAAAAAGAAAAGACATCGAAACATCATGCAGAGAGAACTTATTCGTTTACACACATATTTAACCAAGATGCTGACCAAGAAGATTTATTTCAAGAAATCGCAATGCCACTGCTTAAAAAGTTTATCAGAGGATACGATGCGCTTTTATTTGCATATGGCGCAACAAGTGCAGGCAAAACTTTTACAGTTCGAGGAACAGAGCAAAATCCAGGTCTAATTCCGAAAATAGTAAGAACATTACTTGCAGTTGAACAGCCTATCGATGCAGAGCGTGGCTTATTTGTTTCGTGCGTAGAAGTATATAACGAGCGCATTCATGATCTTTTGGGTGATACAAAACAGCCAATGCGCATATCAAAAGATGGCTTTGGCTTTACTGTTATTAAAGGAGCAAAAGAAGTTGAAATAAAGAAGCCCGAAGATTTGAAATCGATATTGACAACTGTTGACAAAGCCAAATCGGTTTGTGCAACAACATATAACTCACAAAGCTCAAGATCTCACTGCGTATTCATGCTTAAGCTAATTTCAATTCCAATAGATCCAAAGACAAAAGCAAGGGTTAACGATATTTCTAAAGTTAGCGCCGCAAGACTCTCAATTGTTGATCTTGCAGGATCTGAGAGAGTAGATCCTCAAGATAAAAACCAGAAGGTTGTTAATGAAGCTATCAGCATTAACTCTTCAATGTTTACTCTTGGACAGTGCATAAGAATGATCAGGCAAACAAGACTTGGAGTCAAAGGCCTTAAGATACCATATAGACAATCCAAAATTACTGAACTATTCAAAGACTTCTTTGATCCTGTTACATCACGCAAAACGTATTGCTCAATCATCATCAATATTTCACCATCAATCAAACAAATTTCTGATACACTTTTCGCTTTACAATTTGCTGCAGAAGCTGTCGAGTGTAGAGTTGCTGCTGATGAAGTTGAAGAAGAAAATGAAGGAGATTTGAATGAAGGTAGAGCACTTAATTTTTCAGACAGTCCAGAAAATGTTGATGACAACAATAATGATGATAAACAGCAGAACGAAATTGAACTCCTCAAGCTCAAAGAAGCTAAAATCAGGCAAGAAATCCATTCAGAATTCCAAGATAGATACAAGAAGATCACAAAAGAATTCGAAAACAATATTACACAAATGAAAGCCTCTTCTGCTCAAGTTTATCCATGCAAACTTCAAGCAATGCTTGCTCAAAAAGCTCAAGCAGAAGCATATAAGAGGTCCATAATGGAAGCAAAGACAGAGTTGGAGAGACTCCAATCGAAGAGTAATGAATTAGATAAGAAAATTGAAGATGTAGAAAATGAGTTAAAGAAAATGCTTGAAAAATGCAAAGTTGAAGGTCAAAAGAATAGGCAAGTTACAGAAGATCTAGCGAACATGGAATCAACAAACACCAAGCTTGAAGGCGCACTAGAAACAATTCATCAAAAATTATTAGAAACTCAAGCGCAATGCAGAAAAGAATACGAGGAAGAAATGGAAGAATTCCAGAGGAGAATCAATGAAATCCAATAAAGTTTCCTTCGTTTGCATAGTACTAAGAAATTTCATAAAAAGAATCCATCATTTGTTTGATAATTCTATTTTCATTTTTGTTATTTTATTATAGTTGTTTTAATTAGCGAAAGCCAGCACGCACCATACTTTTAGAATAAAAATAAATAGCTCTTTTGTTAACGAATAATTAATGAAACTTTCCCATGCAAAAACTTTTTTAACTCATATATAAGTTTTAAGGGTGCACACGAGAGGATCACGTAAACTTCAGAATTTAGAACCTTATTTTTAGGCATTATCTTGGCTACCCTATTTAGGCTCGAAAAGCAAAAAATACCAAAAATACAACTTGACTCCATTATGACCCTTTCATGGAGGTAGTTTTTATCCGCTAGTATTTTCCCTTTGAATCTCTTTACAATTCGAAATCAAATTCAAATCTCAGTAGAAGAAAGGAAGAATCGACTTACTACGGTTGTAATACGAATAAATACATATATTTAATTATTTTTATTTACATAATAATTGTTTGAAGCTCATATTCCATCAAATTTTTAAATAAAAACATTAAAATGTTGAAAATGTTCATATATTTTAATAGAGTTTTGGCACTTTATTGAGGAATTACTACATACATAGTCGAACTGAACTTGATATTTTGAAATTTAAATTATTTATCAAAATTAAACTTTAACTTGAAATTTATAATTATTTAGTCATATTTTGCATAATTCTAAGTAGATTTTGTAAATCTGCTTGCATATTATTATATAATTAACATATTCATAATGTTTCACCCTTTCAAAAATATAATCCTCCTCCTCTCAAATAAACGTACATACGGGTGGCCTCTTTTTTCAAAAAATTAAAATTTGAAATTTTGGGCTCAAATATTAGAGATTTTTTCAACCTTCAACGATATATGTTGTCTATATCAGACCTCCTTTCTTTTTGATACTTAACATTGTTCCTAAATCTTAGCCGTTAAGGCTGTTCTGAAAATATTTTTTTTTCGAAAAAATTCGAAAAAAATTTTTAAAATTCAAAAATCCCTTAATTCCTGAGGATTTTGGAAAAAAGTTTTTACATGAACATGTGTATATTATATGAAGTATATTGATAAGGTAAAAATCAAATTTTATTGCATATTCATCGAGAAAATAAACTAACGAATCCCTCAAAATTGAGAGGGTAATCCTCCTCCTCTCAAATAAACGTACATACGGGTGCACCCTTAAGTTCCAAGCACTGAACTGAGAAAACAGACATTTGATTACAATTCTAAACTCTTTAACACAATTTCGATAGTCATTTTTGAAATCTTCATCATTTGAAAATATTCACTCTAAATGATTAGTTATTCACTTGTAGATGCTTCAAAAGGAAAACTAAATGTAAATGTAAATGCAGCAAGTAAAACATATATTTTTGAATATCCATGCGCAAGTACATCTGATTGTACAGATTATGAAATTACTTTGCCGGCAGGAATATATAAATTTGAGTTATATGGCGCTAGTGGTGGAAGTTACTTTAATAAAGTCACTTCATATAGGTTTCCTAATAGAACGTGCATTTCAGCAGAAAAAGTTAAAAAAGTAAATGGAAATACTGATTGCCGTATAGATGGAAGTAATGGCGGTGCTGGTGCATATATTAGTGGAATTATTAGTCTTAAAGAAAAAACAACAATTTTTGCCACAATCGGAGGTAAAGGAAATTATGATTATAAAATAAAAGATAAAGATAACGATAATTGTTATATATATCCAAATCTCATTGAAGGAGGTTATGGCGGTGGAGGAAGTGCCAGCAATCATTATGCTGATTCCGATTGGGGTGCTGGTTCAGGAGGTGGCCAAACCGCTGTCAAATTCCTCTCTAATGATTTATGGCATCGAGTGATTGTTGCTGGTGCTGGCGGCGGTTCTGACAATAATTTTACTCAAACTTTTGGTGGAGCAGATGATGGATCAGGAGGTGCTGGAAGTTTAGAAGGTCAAGGATGGTTTACCGATGGAGTATATAACTCAAATTATTTGGCAAATTCAACATTTGGATTTAGTTTTGGATATGGCGAAACAGCTCAAAAAGATAGATCACAAAATCCTAATGGTGTCCAAAGTTGTGGCGGGTATAGCGACCGAGCAGGCGCTGGTGGTGGATGGTTTGGAGGATTTGCAAGTCATCATGGAAATGGCGGTGCTGGAGGAGGAAGTTCATGGGTTTTAACTTCAAACGCAATTATTCCTGAAGGTAAGATTACAGCATATGACTCATCCTACAATCTAAGTGAAAGCCGTCAATATGCTTTTAGTAAACATGATTATGATTTCCATCACATTGTAGCAGAGTCTGGTGTGTGGGAAGGATATGGTCGACTTATCATTAAATCCCTTGGTACAAAGAAGTGCGCTTGTAATAACAATATAAGAAATTATTTTGCTAGAAGACGATGATTAAGTTTGTTCCACTTTTATCAAACTTCTTGATCATCTTTGCAATTGTTATTAAAAACTTGTATCACCAATTCTATTATCCTTTAAAAAATTTTCTTAAGGGTGCACTGTAATCGGTTTGACACTCCCGCTTTTTTTCCTTGGTTTCGAGATATTTTTCAATGATTTTTATAGATGTGACCATATGGTCATATAGCGATATATGATCAATCAAAATATATAAAAAATATTTACTCAATATGGAAATATAAGAAAAAAAAGTTTAACCTTAAACCCCAATTGATCGAAATTGAGGGGTTTGGTAAACCGACTACAGTGCACCCTTAATTATGAATAAAAATTAATGTCTCAAAACAAATCTTTTTACACATATGGGCCCATAGATTTATTTGTTTGGTTGGTTCAAACAGAAAATTATTTAAATAAAAAGCAGAAACATCTTCTGATCTTATTGTATAAATAAAAAAAAAAAAAAAAAAAAAAAAAAAAAAAAAAAAAAAAAAAAAGTAGTGGGGCTTCCAGGCACTTCGTGCCCTCTAGCCCTGAAGATGTTTAGTATAAATGAAGTTTTTATTCGGAAAATTGTTAGTCTTCTTGGTCGAAAACATTATATAATGTTTCACTTTTCACAAATTATATATGTTTTCATGTTTTGTCAAGACTTCTTCTTCGTAAATGTTTTGTCAAGACTTCTTCTTCGTAAATGTTTTGTCAAGACTTCTTCGTAAATGTTTTGTCAAGACTTCTTCGTAAATGTTTTGTCAAGACTTCTTCGTAAATGTTTTGTCAAGACTTCTTCGTTTATGTTTTTGTCATGAATTTCTTCGTTTATGTTTTTGTCATGAATTTCTTCGTAAATGTTTTGTCAAGACTTCTTCTTCGTACATGCTTTGTCAAAACTTCTTCGTAAATGTTTTGTCAAGACTTCTTCTTCGTACATGCTTTGTCAAAACTTCTTCGTAAATGTTTTGTCAAGACTTCTTCGTAAATGTTTTGTCAAGACTTCTTCGTAAATGTTTTGTCAAGACTTCTTCGTAAATGTTTTGTCAAGACTTCTTCGTAAATGTTTTGTCATGATTTCTTCGTAAATGTTTTGTCAAGACTTCTTCGTAAATGTTTTGTCATGATTTCTTCGTAAATGTTTTGTCAAGACTTCTTCGTAAATGTTTTGTCATGATTTCTTCGTAAAATCAGACAAAAATATATTTTAGGGTAGAAGGGTAGAACTACCCTCCTTTCTACCCTCTTTTCTACCCTCATGAATTTTCATGAAATTTACACCAAAAATATACTACTAGGGTCATTTACGAAGAAATCTCAACAAAGTCTTTACGAAGAAATCTCAACAAAGTCTTTACGAAGAAATCTCAACAAAACATAGACAAGAAAGTTCATGAGAAATTAGATGAAGAAGTCTTAACAAAACATTTACGAAGAAATTCATGAAAATTCATGAAAATTCATGAGGGTAGAAAAGAGGGTAGAAAGGAGGGTAGTTCTACCCTTCTACCCTAAAATATATTTTGGGTCATTTACACTCATTTACGAAGAAATCTCAACAAAGTCTTTACGAAGAAGTCACAACAAAACATCTGTCAAAAACCGCTTTTTAACTTTACTTAAAATGCCACGTAAGCTACGTAAGAATATACATAAGAGGAAGAGAGCATTGAAACATCCAATAGTAAAACTGACACCACAACAACAGTTGCAACAACAAATGCTGAATGACCCCACTATGTTGCAACAAATGTCAAGCAATCCTATGCTTTTAAACCGAGTTCTTGGTGCACAGAGTGGAGGTTTAAGAGCGGCACTTTTAGCGAAAATGGCAGGCTATGGTGGAGCTGCAGACGGAACAGCTTATAACCCTCAAAGTCAAATGAATTTGAGTTCACTCAAAAATCAAATAACAGATGTCAAAAAGTCAAACATAGACATACAGAAGCAAATAAGTGAAAACGAAAAGAAACTAGAATATGACAGACACACAAAGAAACTCAATGAGTTAAACGTAGAGAAAAAGAAGAAAGAAGAACAACTGAAAGAACTAAGTACAGAGGAATATGCAAAAAAAGTGTCAGAAAAAGCAGCAGAAGTAGCAAAAATGGAACAAGATGTCATAAATTTGAAAAACCATACTACTCAATATAAAATACTGAAAGATGAAGAGATAAAACAAAAAGCCCTGAAGACATATATGGATAGCGATGAGTATAAAAAAGAAGTTGAAGCAAATGTAAAGGCAGAAAAACTTTTACAGTTGCAAAACCAAACCGTACAGTATGAAAACTTAGCACAAGAAAGTAAAAATAACGACGCAGCCATGCAAAAGGCAATGAAAAGCGCAGAATATATAAAAGCTAATAATGACTGGTTAGATGCCCAAGCCAACGCTAAAGCAGCCCAGCTTATAGGGTCAATAAGGACAAAAATACAAGCGGATGAAGACAGTTCAAATGAAGCTTTAACGAATGCTGACTTTAAGAACGCCTTCGAAGCTCTTCATAGTAAGGTGAAACAAGTGAACGACTTCTCATCTGGAAAGAAACTGAAGTCTGAAGGTTTCGACAACGAGTTAAGAGAAGTAGCACAAAATATGACGAAAATAACAGATGCAGCAACGAGACAGGCAGTTCAAAGTGCCTATGACGCCGTTAGAGCAACTGTTGTGAAAAGTCAAGAAAAAGAGTTACAACAGACCAAAACAGACCTAGTAAATGCTTTCTTAAAAACGAAAAGTCAGGTAGGACATTACGCTGCAGATGGAACATATGTGCCAGCTGGTGGAACTTATATACCACCAAACCCTCCAAGAGAAGCACCTGCACCAGGACTACCTAGAACATTTACATCGTCACATGGACACAGACACAGGCATGCACAACAACCAGCACAACAACCACCTCCACAACCAGCACAACAACCAACACAACAACCAGCACAACAACCAACAGTTCAAAATCCAGCACAACAACAACCACAAACAGAGCAAGGACATAAAAGAAGTAGAGAACAAGGAAACCAAGAATTCTTAAAAATGCTTAAAGAAGAGTGTGGTTTCCCAGATAGTATTGACTTTAGTGACAGATATAAAGAAGCTATTGGAAAGTTCAAGGATGGAAATACTGACCCGAACCTATTTAGCTTTATGGCTCAGCACCAAAACGGATATAATCTCAAACCTGGAAAATACAAGCTCGCTAAGGGATATGATTTAATAGCATATCATCCAAATGACATGGATGAATTTACTCCGAGATATTTGATGTCAGAGCTAAATGACAATTCAACTTTCGTCATGAAACGCGTAAAAAATAGAGACGGAACGAAAGAACAAAAGCTTATGAATGCGGATGACGTAGATAGGGAAATTGTTGAAAACGGTCTCGGAATATATGAAATGCCAGCAGATGAGGTACAAGAAACTCCACAGGAAGAAGTTCAGATACAACCAGACATGGAAGAAATAGTTCAGCAACAACAGCTAGAAGAGCCTGAAGGAAACGAACAAGTCCTTCCTTTGGAAACTAACTTCACAGAACTAGATGAAGATTTGGAACAGCCGAAAAATCTTGACCCTCAACAAGAGTATGCGGAGAATATGGAATCTTTCCAAGAGTCTAAGAAAAATTCGGCTGACATAGTAGAAGAATATCGAAAAATGTTCGCCGACATACAAAAGACTCCAACATCAGATGAAAATATCCAGCATAGAATGGAAGAACTGAAAGATAATGTACGCAAATACAACAACCCTTTTTACTTACGAGCATTTAACGTTCAATCTTCGGATGAACTCGGTGAAAATAAAAGGTTAAATTTCAAGAAAACATATAGAAATGAACATTGTTTAAAGTTCATTCAGAACCTAACCAAGATGGAAACAAACCTACTTTTGTTTCTGCAGACGATGGAACTACAATGAGATGGGGTCATAAAGCTAACCCGGATAGGTGGTTCATAAACTTACAACCACAATTCCAAGAAGTTGTAGACGCAATGGAAGTCAATGGTGAACGAGACATAGCTGGTATTTTAAGCGCGGCTTTAATGCCATTGAAAGATATGAAAGATGCAGATATTTTGGACCAGTATGAAATGAACATGGCTGATGGAAATATAACACCTGACGTTCTAGAACATTTATCTCAAAGAACTACACAGAACCATAAAGATGGTATATTTGGTGAAGAGTTTAGAAAGAAAGTTAGGGAGAGAGAAGGAAGAGAACCTATTGTACATGACCTTGCAAACGAAAGTTTACAAAATGTCATAAAAACTTACTTTGCAGACAATGAACCGAGAAGGGATGAATATTTAAGAAAACTCAAATGGACAGTACCAAATGAAATGTTAGTATTGAAAAACATGTTCCTTGACAAAATAAAACCAACTACAGAAATAAACGACGCAAGACTGAAAGATTGGGTAAAAGCTTTCCCATTCACAAAAGATATAGTTGGTAACATGGAAAGAAAACCAGAATGGCTACAAAAACATATTTTGGAAACAGCTTATTCCATATGGACAGGCACTGTTTGAAGAGCTTGAACCGGAAACTCAGGAAAGAGTCATGCAAACAATACGCGAAGACTCAAATACAAACTATGACAAACTCTTTCTAGGATATAGGTTACCTGAGATGGGCGACCAGAGCCAAAAGGCAAAAAGGACATGGGAAATTTGCAACATACTAGATGAACATAATGCAAAGATGCAACAACTTCAAGCAGAGGGCAATGAAGGAAAAAGAAAGTTAAAAACTCAGTCAGGAAGAAAGTAAAGCTTGGTCGGAGTGGGTTCTATTATGACATATAAATCCAACTATTCTATATTTTTACTCATATGAAATGTACGCCGCTCAGAATATAACGCCAACAGTTTTGGATGCTATGAATGGAAATGTTTCCGAATGGTATAACGAATGCGACAATGCCATTAGAAGGTCAGAAATAGTTCCTGGAACTTACGAATATACAACTGCTGTTTCTTATGGAAACGTAGGTGAGTTTGGAGAAGTTCTTCAACAACAGTAGATATTGCTTGCGACAGGTTTCATATAATTTCTATTGACAACTCTTTCTTATACGTGGAACAAGACATTGAAATAAAACCTTCTGCCAAGTTGTCTGACAAGAAAGGTTGCAATGGAATTTTCTATGTCGGATACCAATATGCTCCAGAAGTTTTCATGGGATATAAGATATATTCTAACTCTGACTTAGTTCAAACAGTAACATGGGCAAACTATGAAATGGTTCGCTTTGAGAACTCAGTACAACCACAAGCTAGAGAACAAACAGACCAGTATGCAACTATTGAGAAAATAAGAAGACTTGACCCTAACGTTCCAGGAGTTTATGTTGACCTTTCTGGTTCAGATGGAAATGCTGTCACTAAAGTAAAAACTGAAACTTAGAGTTCCTTTGTCATCTTTCCTCATCTTCAGGTTTTTAAGATACTTGCCAAACTGGGCAGGAAAAATTTCTATTGAACTTACTCCAAGCAAAAATAACTTAGTCATTGCACCAACACAAGACCCATTCACTCTTACAGACGTAAAGGGAGCAAATCAAACGTCATTCGCCGAATTTTGCAAAGATAAGGTTGACTTAGACTTTGGTTTCTCAAACCTCAACACTGAAGTAAAGTATTATTTCAATGCTGCTGGAACTGCTTGGACCCAGTTAGGTTTACATGCGAAAAATTTGAATGCAAGAGAATAGAAAGCAGACTTGCAGTCTATATGTTGGACCCAGATATTTCAAATGCTTTAGCTGCCAAATATATTGCAGTTCCACTTATGTTCCCTATACACCAAATATCTGTCAAAGACTTTGCAGGTGAAGTTTGGAAACCAAAATCCAGGAACCGCAGGTGCAAGAACAGATATTGCTTTAACAACTGCAATGAAAACACGCAGATACTATGTTTGTACTGTTCAGACGAACTATAAATGACTATTCTTGTTTCTACAACCTGGTATTAAATATCATATAAACATAGATGGCAAATATTATCCAAGAGAAGAATATTCTACAGTTGAGGATATGAGGTCATACAACTTGACATTAGATGCTATGAACTTTAACAACAACTTCACAACAACCATTAACCCTGAAATGCAAAGTTCTATTATGCCATATGTGAAAGTATGGACTCATACAGGAGGTCAAAAAACTCAATATACAAATGGAGACGTTCAAACTTTTGGCTTGGCATTCCATTTGCTGACTCAGAAGCTTTATGGGTGGTATTTCAACTTTGGTACTGTACAAATACAATATACTGGTGACAGAGACGTCCATATGAACTGAGAGCAAAGAAGTTTACAAAACCAATAGCACTTTTCACGGAAGATGCTCTTTTGAAGATTCGTTCGATGAAACTGCTGGGGCTCCTCAGATTGCATAACGACAGCTTCCATCGAGCAGATTTTTGGCAGCAGGTCAGTAAGTTGTTCTTGAACTGACTTCTCTCCGTAAATATTGACAGTACGCCAGTTTTTGACATAAAATTGTATTATAAACTTACCTTTAGAAATATCTGTAAGTTTTGTTGTTATATTTTTGTCTGCTTCAAGAACTTTCACCATCTCGGTTATACCAACTTCTTTGCTTTATGAAAAATTTTGGTTCAGCAAAGACTGCTATTCTATAACATTTACCATTGTTTGTATAAAGAACTATTTCTGTCAATGTATTTGTATTGTTTGTGTGTGTAAACTTTGTTTTGCTTCAATTCGAAGAGATACTCAAATACGTCCATATTTTTATTCTAAATAAAATGTCATTTCCGAAAAATAGAAGCGTAAGTTTCAAAAGGTTTAATGGCGGTGGCAGATGTGAAGTTAAATTCACCAACTCAAACAAACAGTCAAAGTGTTGTTGTCAATGTCAAAGAAAGAGATGTTGAAGTGGGGAAACCATACGAAGACGAAGATGGTATAACAATTGTTCCTGTAAAAGAACAACCAACATATCCTGAAGTTAGCAGAGACTTAAGTTCTGTTGCAGATATTCGAAACGACTACATGCAACTGAAAAACAAACTTAAAACTCAGGAGAAGATTTGTCAAGCTTTAGGTATAATGTTAAACTTGGTCGAACACAACCCTGTAAAAGTGAACTCATATGTCATCGCACCTCATGAAATTTTGAAAGAACTATTGAAACTTTTGACAGAGGCAGACGATATAAACATCAAAGAAATAGAACCCGACATTGCTTGCTGTGGTGTTTCATATAATGTCATTGACAAGATATACGTTATGAAAGGAGGTGAAACGTTGAACTTAAAGTATATAGTTTCCCAGACGTTATAAAAATATTTGACGACCACAACATTTCATTAAAATTTATTTGCTAAGTAAAATGGCAGAAGACACAATGGTTTATACTATTACACTAAAAACCCTGAGTCATATAATTCTATAACAACAACTTACAAAGTCCTCAAGGACGATATTGTAAACTAACTTTAAACACAATGACAACTAAAGCTTGTTTTGCTCTTTTGACACCAGAAGATTTTATTGTTGTGAATGGTAAAAAATACTCCTTTGAAGATACTTACTCAGATATACCACCAACAGGTTTTGTTGACTTATTTAATACTTTAAGGACGAGTGTAACATGTGCTGCAACTAGAGCAGGTTTCATTATGTTTGGATGTCCGACTGAGTTTACTATAAACAATATGAGCTATAATACAAAACTTATATCTGGTTTTTACTACCAACAGTTTCCTATAACAGGAAAGGTGTCATACAAGGAATGTCTGTTCCATTGACTTTAAGTACACCTATTTTTATATATTGTTTCAAACTTAGGTTCAAAGTGCTATTCGAATGTCGACAGAACTACTATGACCAAAAGATACTTATGCGTATAAACAACACATTCTCTGCTGGTTGCCTATTGTTCATTCGAATGCAGAATTTTCACCTTAGTGAACTCAAACACTTTGGCAAGTATAACGTTGACATTAGTTGACGCAAACTTTGTTCCTGTAAAACTTTTATGTCCTATGTATTTGTCAATGACGGCAGAAAGTTTCGAATTGGAAGATGCAACTGGTGAAAGTATTGTATTACAAGAACAACTTCAACAACAAATAGCTCAAGAAACAACAAATGCAACAAATAGCTCAAAGAATAAAAAAAATATTTTTTTTTTTTTATAAAAATGTACAGAATAGATGTTTCAGATTTTTATGACTTCCAAGCGTTCAGAAATATGTGTCCATTTCGAGACTATAACAAAGCAGTCGAGAATTTGAAACGTTTAGTCATTTATGTCGACTCTGCCCCAGAATGTTATGTCATGAAAAGAATGGGATGTTGTCTTTAACAAACCAAGAGCAACAATAGTTTCAGAACAAG